AATATTTCGTTATTATATATATATAATAACGAAATATTAGTATTATATATACATATGTATATCGTGTACGCATATTTTGTTTGTTCAGTGTTAGTATTTTTGGCGTTTAGGAAAGGCTTAGATGCGCTGTTCCAAAAGACGCGTATTTGCGGAACAAGATCTGAAAATTGTGTTTTTCTTCATTGAATAAATTGTGAACTTGACTCGGCTAGATAAGTTTGTTCCGCGATGAAGGTATGAGTAGTTGTTATTTGGATACTTTTTTTTCGCGGAAAATATATTCAAGAAATTGGATGCAGTTAAATCATGATTAAAAAAAAAATTTATTATCATGAAATCTATCATAGCAGTTTACCATTAAATTTTAACTACTGATTGAACAAGCATTTCTAACTTTCATGTCTTATCTGCAGAGAGCTTTTCTGCGCTTCACTGCTGAAAATTTGCAGAATTAAAACAGGTGATGTCTGCATAGATCCGAGTGCCCGCATACGGAGATGCTCTATTGTTTTTTGTCTGTATATGCATAAAATCTTAAATGTTTGAAATAAAATTGACAAAGATTTATTGTATGTAAATGGTATCGATGATCGTCGTTGCTGACATCGGTATAAGTTATTATTCGTGTCCGGAAGTGGTATCTTTTTTTATTTGCTGGGAAACTAATAATTGTGTTGGCAAGTACTGGCATTTTCTAGGTTGGACATGTGTAATCAAGAAAGCTATAACATTGTTTCTGCATCGAACAAGAAAACTAAAAACAATATATCGAAGAGAAGACGACGGTAGTTGATCCCTTTTATCTATAGCAAACTGCGGTTTTTTGGGCCTAAATAAAATTTAGGGGACGGTGCCTGAGAGATCATTAGTATAGATGAATAAACGGAAATACAGGGTTGATGATTCCTCTTGTACTTTAGGATCCGGATTCATCAGTTCAATCGTTAGTTCCAAACATCTGTAGAAATAACAGTAGCTTGAGGATGAATTAGGAAAGGCGAGAAAAGGCACAACTGGAAATGATTGTAGTTCGTTCGATTCTGACCGTAACTCTAAGGAGACAGTCAATTACTATAGATCTTAGCGGTGACGAGCATTTGCTAAGACACGCTTAACTGTTATTTAAGATTAGCTTTTGAGTCTTTATCTTGAAACCTCTCTCACTCTCTCATTCTGCACTTTTATTCAACGAGGAAGAATAGACAGTATTTAATCTTTTTCCAAATGAAATGTAGAATAAATCTGAATGAAGTATATGTGCACCATACATCCTATCATTTTGTGAAGAGTGCAAGCAGTTTTCGAAATGACATTAACAAATGTAATTAATGGATAAAAACTGCAAGTCGACTAAACAAGAATGTCAAAAAGAAGTTAAAGCTCTAGTAGTAAGTCCTTGCTAGAGATCCACAAACATGAAAGAGTACGAGTCGTCCTACTCATGTTTCACTCTTGTCATATTCCTAAGGCTTGTTCTAGCCATGATGACCCCTCTATTCCTAACTGTTGACCTTCTCTTCCTAACCCTATGCCTTAATAAAAAGATAGGCCCCCCCTTTGCCCTAATGATCAACCCACCGAATAAGGCATTCATTCCTTCATCTCCCACACAGCTGTTACAGTAATGTCGTTGTGAGACCATTATGAATATTGATTGTTGAGTGAAGGATGCGGTTAAATTGAATGATTTGAATTCGAAATTGCACGAGAAGGAAGAAAAGGTGGACACTTTCCCTGTTAGTTAGTTAACTGCTGAAGAAATTGGCAGAAAGTTTCTTTTAAATTATTAATCGTCGAAATTTTTCCATGATGAAAAGATTGGAGTGATATTTCATTTTTGCATTGACTCGAGATCCTTTTCATTTCAGAGTTGTTTCTGCATCGATTCGAGATCCTTTCATTGCTACTTTGTAATTTCTTCAGAAGCATCATTGAGAAGTATATAATAACGCGCTAGTTTT